CTCCCCAAAACCCCAAAACCCCAAAACCCCAAAACCCCATTATTTTCGGGAGTTTTGAAAATACCGAATAAACCGAATAGATTAGAGCTTAACTTTCAGCTGGGATTTTTTGGGTCTTATTTTGAACTTGCTCTTCCTGACTGCCATACTCTGATCCAACGTCTTTTGGGAGAGCTTCTTTGAGATTTTTTTGAGTTTACTGACCTTGTTTGCTTTGATCTGCTCGATGTTCTTAGTTAGTATCCCTCTTAATTTAATATCATTGGCTAGAGGAAATTTAGAAGGGAAAAATTACCAATTGTATCCACAATATCCTCTTTAGTCACAGTATAATCCCTGTAAAGAATCTCTGCAAGCTCCTTGGGGCAATAATTCCGATAGAAATCTCTCTGAAAGGACATCTTTGGGGTTGCGTCATATGTTTCTAGAACTTAGAGTGCAAAGATACCTGAGCCTCTTCAGAGACTGTTCCGACTTTTGCCATTCTTGTTAGTCTGAGAGCTCTTTAGCAGAAACAAAGATTTCGGGGTAGCTCCAAGTTTACAACAGTTTATGCCGACATTGCAAAATAGCTTGTTGAGAGCTTGAAATTTCTTAGGGATCTTAGAGTCAACATCATTCTTCCGAGTAAGATCACCCATGCTAGAGTTCTTCCTGAGACGATTCATACACGCAACTGCGATCACATTCTCTTCAGAAGTGAATGATGAAAGGGAAGAGTTCGGTCTCTTTCTTTTTATCTTTTCTTCCTTTAGCTTTTTGGCAAACTTAAAATATTCCAACATGTCTTTACTTGGGTCTAATAAGATTAGAGATTTGAGTAGTTTACTTATTCCGTTCATTCTATTTTTGAATATTTATCAAGTTATGCTTGCTGACTAAAGTAGTAGACTTAGTATAAACTGTCAATAAGGCTGATGTAATAGGGAGCAGATTAATCTTAGTTTAACTCAGAATGTCTAAAAATATGAAGAGCACATTTTCTACTCGTATACATTGCCATTTCTTAACCTCTCGAATTTTGAGTAATCTATCAACTCCTTTAAACCCCATAACCTACTTTTCTGTGGTTTGAGGCTATTTCTGGCTCTTTATGGAGACCCTTTTACTCCTTACATTGAAGCTTGAATTCCGATTCTTCTTACCTTGCGTAAGCTTCTTCGCCTGCAAAGTCTGGGCTACCGTTGGTTGTCTCTACACCAAGGATTAATCACTTCATAATATTCAGCAGGTTAAGCCTGGCTTGGATTGGACCAGCAGATTTATAGCTACACTTGGCATTTTGAGATTGCCAGAATAGCTTAAATACTTACCAAGTAGAGCCCACAGTCGTTAAACTTAGACTGAGACGACAGTGAACCAGGCGAGGTTGGAGAATAAGGGTATATTTCTGGGGGAAGAGCCTGAGAAGATGCCTTTAAGATAGACTATAGGTGATAGAAATAGTTACAATGTCTCGGTTGACAGTGATGCTTGATAGAGGCTTTTTACATGTTTTAAGCGAGAATTTGTGGTTCAGCTGGTAGATGTCATCCATTTTTATCAATTTATTATTTTAATGAGGGGTTTTGGGGTTTTGGGGTTTTGGGG